TCAGTAAATCACAACCAATCCAATCAGATTAAAAAACAATTGTTGGTTCAGTCTGTCAGTCAGTGAGTCAGTGTTAACCATTTATCTATTTGGACCATCAGTCCACAGAGACCCAGTGGAGAAAGATATCTGACAGCGGGATAATAGCAACCTGTCGAAACAACCTAGGCCGATTTACAGACACACACTCACTCTGAGCAACAACTGTTTTCTTTGGACAGAGAAGTAGGAGAGGACGGGGCGATGGAGATGTTTTCCATCTCCTCTCAGCCTGTGAGTCAGATGGAGGGCCGGAGAGGAAGGGTGAGGTATTGTCTCGTGGTCAGGGAATGAACTCACGCCCCCACACATGAAAACACTCAGAGGAGGAGAAAGAGAGGACGCATGGATGTAGGTCAGGATGATGTGACTTGCAGGGCCAGACGTGGTTTTTCAGACAGACTTAACAACCACCAGCAGCGATGGAAACGATGTGTTGCTACTTGGGTCTCGTAACCACAGAAATTCTGTCTACAAAGCCGAGGCAAAAACAGGCTGTCGGTGACTCGGCCTGAGAAATATGTCGGGGCGGGAGTGGTTGTAAACAGCTGTGCCAGTTATTATTCTCCTTTTGGTGAAGAGTTAAAACACCCTTTTAGTTGCAGTTTGTTGTTTTGAGTGTAATGATAGCAGAGGGTTTTTATAAAATGTAGCAAAACCATAATCCGTAATGACACTTTGGCTCTTATCTTCAAATATTTAAAAGGACATCAAAGACTCTCACAACTATGAACATGTGTTGACTGCAGCAGAGAAACACATGAGCTGAGCACCACATCACAGCTGTATATTTAGGACATTGAATTGAAAAAAATCTTTCCAGAACTGGAAATTCAAATCTTCAGCTGTGCAGACGGAGGTGGGAAGTAACTAAGTACGTTTACATACTGTACTTAAGTACATTTTTGAGATACTTGTACTTTACTTTATCCATTTCATTCACTGTACTGCTATTCCACTACAATTCAGATGTTAATCGGGTACTTTTACTCCACTACATTTATCTTGTATCTTTAGTTACTTTACAGTTTTTAATTAATACAGTGAAATATAAACAACACTTATGACTTTAGTTACACCTGCAGTTCATTTACAAGCTACCCTGCAGTATACAAAGTCATTCAAACTAGCTGCACCTTTACCAACTTTGATAACACTTTAATGATCAATCATATCATATATATTATTCTGAAATGGACCAATCTGCACAATGACTACTTTGACTTTTGGTACTTTAAGTATATTTTGATAGCAGTACTTTTGTACTTTTACTTGAGTAACAATTTGAATGGACTTGCAACAGAGTATTCCTACATTCTGGTACTTCTACTTTTGCTCAAGTACAAGATCTGAGTTCTTCTCCCACCTCTGATAAAAGGACATAAAACACTACAAATCCGAATAAAAAAACCAATACTATCATCACCACAGTAAAGTTCTTTCTTCCGAAAGAACGAGATCGCGGGTACAAGCGGCCGAGATGGGTTTTCTCCGCAGGGTGGCTGGTGTCTCCCTTAGGGATAAGGTGAGAAGTTCGGTCATGCGAGAGGGACTCGGAGTTGAACCGCTCCTCCTTCGCGTCGAAAGGAGCCAGTTGAGGTGGTTCGGGCACCTAGTTAGGATGCCACCTGGGCGCCTCCCTAGGGAGGTGTTCCAGGCACGTCCAGCTGGGAAGAGACCAAGGGGTAGACCTAGAACCAGATGGAGGGATTATATCTCTTCGCTGGCCTGGGAGCGCCTTGGGATCCCCCAGTCAGAGCTGGTTGATGTGGCCAGGGAAAAGAAAGTTTGGGGCTCTCTGCTGGAACTGCTACCTCCGCGACCCGACCACGGATAAGCGGGAGAAGGTGGATGGATGGACCACAGTAAAGTTAGACATTTAATTGTAAGTAAATTCCGTTTTTCAGAACTGGAAATTAAAATCTTCAGATGTGCAGTTCTGCTTCCTGTGCTGCTCTTGCAGTTTCTTTTGCCCATTCAGGAAGAGACTTGCGGTGAACGGCATCCTGGACCACATGGCATGTTTGCTGACCTTCCGTGTGATGAAAAAAGCCCAGACAGCAAGTCCGAGATGTTTTTGATTCTGTTTTAGTTTAGAGGGAAGAGCACCGCAGCGGCAATGGTTTGAGTTTCTCTCTCAGTGCTGTCTGCACGAGAGCTGACTCTTACACAACACTGCGATGGTTAAAGCTGGTGGTTTTACAGTGGGATGTGCACTCATTTCCCTAGCAAGTACTGCATTTTTCTCCCTTGTTCTTCTTTAAAATCAGCTTCAAGTGTAGTAAAACCATTATTAATGAGCCTCCATACATATCCAACACTACAAATGAGCAGGGTCGGATGGGTAACAAAATGTAATCCATTTAATATACTTATATTTCAAAAATTGAATTATATTAGTTATGTAGCCACTTTACTTCCTGTTCCTTTTGCAGTACCTCAATATCAAATGCAACAGAAACAAATACGAGAGAAAATAATTATCAGTAGGATGGCTTTTACTTAATTCTATTATGTAGGACAACAGAACAATGTAACCTTCAGAAAATAAGAAAACCAAGATAATAACCTGCCTTTCATTAGGCACATGTATGCAGTGTATTGACAATCCATCCACCTACACACCTTTCAAAAGAAGAAATCCACATAAAATAAAATATACAGACCTACGGATTCAAGATTAAATTATAGGATACGTTATCCCATAAAATGTTACTCACACAGCCTGCAAATGGGGAAAAAAAATAGTTCAAAGGATCAATGAATGAAGGTGAATTAACTTGTAACATGGATTAGTGCGAGGTTTACATGCTATTAATACTCACACTGACACCAAGAGAGGAAACCTCTGGCTCTCATTAGCTAGTCGTAGTCTGTGTTAATCCCAGCTAATCCCACCCGGCCCTGACCTTCATTTCCACTATCAAAACAGAAATACATGCATGTAGCGGTAGCCCCATTTCTCAAAAACAAGATGGATACTATATGTACCACAGCTGTGTTTACGATTCACCCTGTTTCGCTAAACAGTTAGCACAGCTACTTCATCTTTGAGGGCATGTATTTCTAGGAATTTTAGCGCATTATACCACAATGTTAACATGAGCCTCCTTTGCACAACTGTTACATCATGAGTGTGACATAGTGACCTTTGGGTAATCCAATTACAATATGAAATCCTTTGTGATCATATTATCATTAATGCTGGAGCCAGATGGCCAGGGTTGAGGTGTGTGTGTGTGTGTGTGTGTGTGTGTGTGTGTGTGTGTGTGTGTGTGTGTGTGTGTGTGTGTGTGTGTGTGTGTGTGTGTGTGTGTGTGTGTG